TGATGATGGGGCTGCTCTTTTATAAATATGTGAGATTATTTTAGGGCGGGGTGCAACATTATGATCCTGATACAATTGCTGAATAGGTTGTGGTGGTGGCGTAGGTATTGAGAAATCCCTTGAAGGCACAGATGTTTCTGATGCACATTCCACTTCATGACTTGATGTAGGAACATCTATGTTCTCTTGTGTTGCAATGGCTTGTATATGAACAAACTGCTGTTGCCTATTTTGATCATGCTGATTCTGTCTCCTGACACTTCTATAGGCATTAGTCCAACAACATAAGCAAACTTTTTCTAGCCGCTGTACCTAAAAAATAAAATTGAAAGCTTTAATCTTGCTATTAAGGATTTCAAGCATAACTTTTATACATATTCATGATCAATATTATGAATTATTAGATGTTAGTAAACAATCCAAGAACCATTTTAATGAGGGATAACAATAATAATGAGTGAAGTGTTAATAATTTATAAGTATAAATACCTGCTGAGTAGGTATGTATGACATTATGACATTTCCTTCAGGGCTATTAATTGATACTCAGTGTGTCTTAGCTCTTAATATGGAAGATCCACATACAAAACACACTTGTTGATGTCAATAAGCTTGTTCAACTGTTGCTCCACTTGACAAGTTTAGAGTTGCTCTTTCAAGTATTGTATAACATTCTTGACAAACAACATCTTCCTCTGACACCTAAAATATATATAAAAGATACATAAAGAAACATTATGTTTGGATATTAACCTTAGCATTAGTTAAATAAAAATTACCTACATTATTTTAAAAAGTATTTACAAAAGTATAACTTCTTTTTGTGGTGGTATCTCATCATGATTATTAATTATTATTTATAGAATCACATAGATCAGCTGTAAAAGTTAAATGCACAAGAAAATACATATAGTGTATAAGACTTAGACCCCGGTGGCTTAAGGCCAGTTCTTCATAGAAAACATTATCCCACTCTAGGGTTTTATTCTGTGTTGCGGGTGTGTTTACAAACATCTAAATTCACATACACAAACAGCAAGATTCTACTGGTAGATTATACAAATATTTGTTTTGTGAGGGAATTGAACCTGCAACATGTAGCACAGTAGTAGATTGCTTGATCACTGCACTGTGTCACCAAAAGTTAAAATCCTGTGCATTGTTTGGTTGAAAATGTATAGGATTTTAACAAATAGTATGCTTAATTACTGATCAAATAACTGGCTATTAGTATTATCTAAAGTAGTATTAAGCAATATTATTGATAATATAACATACTGTACGTAAGCTTTGCACACGTGTCTAAATAGTGTGCGAGTCTTGAGAAAAATGGTAAAAACTACAATAAAACATAACTCAATAAATAAGATTATACTGACCGTTGCTGGAGCAATCCGGGTTCGTAAAATTCTAACCATTGTGTCCGTTATGTCCCCGAGTTCACGAAAGTGTAAAGGATGTACCAGAGGAAGGGCACAGTTCACACAGCGCGACATATTAAAACAATTGTTTATGATTTTCTGCACAGAGACTCGGACCGTAGTCGCAAAAAACGTTCTACACAATCCACATCACTACCACAGTAACAGCACAATAGTCTTGAAAAAGATATCTTGTTCGTGCAGGAATCCGAAGACTCTACTGGACACAAACTCGACGTACCTAATAATAAGTTATTTGTTATAACAACAAACATAACAACTTATCAAAAACTTCGCCGTCGCGCCAATACAACGCTGTTTGACTTGACAGTGACACTTTTGATGACAGTTCACCTTCTATTTGCCCGTCGTAGTGTTATCAACAATTAATCTAAATCTCTCTGACTATAACTGATTTGTCAACATACGAAAGATTGATAATTAGAAAATAAATGTTTTATTTTAATATAATTAATTAAAAATAAAAGTATAAATCACGTGGGAATATCTAATATTTAAAATATTTTCTAAGACTCAGCGTCTGCCTGTTTGCCAAACCCGATTACCGGGAAGTTCATAAAGTTGACAACACTGCTTTCACTTAAAGAAAGCCATCTTGAAAATAATGCAAATAAAATCGAAATAATTACTATTTAGACCCAAAATATTAACCCCACATTTAATTTCGATCAAGATAACTAAGAAAAGTTAAAAAAAGATTTCATAATTTATGGGTATATTTTTGTGGCTATACAGTTATCTTCTATAGCGATACTGATTTTGGGCAATCTCCTTTCTCTGGAGTTACCCATTGAGTTTAATATGGTACATGAATCACCCCTTCTCCCAGTATAGGTACATACTACAGAGCTCCACTTACTACGTTCCTTACATACTTCTTTAGCTTCCATCACATTCATACATCTGATGGTATACAGAAACTACAGAGCGCCACCTACTACGCTCCTTACATACTTCTTTAGCTTCCATCACATTCATACATCTGATGGTATACAGAAACTACAGAGCACACCTACTACCCTCCTTACATACTTCTTTAGCTTCCATCACATTCATACATCAACTGTAATATAAACGGTTTTAAAAATCCTTCGTATTTCATCTTTTTCTGCGCTAATGACGTCAATTTTATGTGCTCTGACATCACTTGGGTTTTCTAAATATTTTCCTCGGTCTAACAATAACAAGAATTGTCAAATTCAGTGCATCCGTTCTTTAGTTTTGCGTGAAGACACATTTCGATGTTTCGATTTTTGTTTATTTGTCTATTGTTGAGGGAGACTATGATATCACGCTTAGGAACTCTGCAGCAAAAAATAGCTCTTGAAAATTGTCAGTCGGTATGTATAAAACCCCGACACGGAGCCGCGGAAGACTTAACGGGTTGCCATGGCTCCGGCTCGAAGTGCAGAAGTGGTTTTTAGTCAGTATTAAGAGTTTGACACTCCCTCTCGACCTCTCGGTCGGGAGAAGTCATTGGATAATAGGGTAGTTTCCTAAATTTTATTTTAATGTCCATCTGGTAGATTATTTTAAAATATTAGACACGATTTTTTTTTCTCACAAAATTAAATGCTTTCGACGATATATTGATTTGAAATGTCGCGTGACGTCACAGCTAGTAACTACCTCCCACTAAACTTAACGCCATTTTATTTAAGTATTGTAACTTAACTCGTCGAGTACCGGTTTTATAGACACAATTAAAGAACAATAGGTCGCGGTCAACGGTGACCGCTTGGTGTTTGACAGTTTAATACGAGAAAATAAAAAAATACGTGTCTAATATTTTTTCACTATCTAACTGACGGACTAATTAGATTCTTAATTTTCTTACCCTGGAAACTAGTCTATTTTCTCCCCTCAAATTAAAGCTATATAGAACCAGCTTTGTATGTTCTTTCCGTACATTCAATGGTTAGTTTACGCTGGTTTTGCGAAACTTGATCTGTAGCCATGTTTAAAGTTTAGTCGTTCGTGTCTACCTGCCTTTAACCCCCTCCCGAATAACATACCGTGAAGGTAAATGTTAACTGGTTAGAAAATGACCGCAAGGATACGCATTTAGTTATAACATTACGACAGTTTTCTCTTAGTATGTATTATGCTGCTAACCCACTTTAAAATATTATGTTGTAATAATACAGTACACTTTGGTTAACATGCTTTTACGTGAGTCGTAAGTGCCGACTATGGGACTACACATTAGACAGAGACCGGACAGCAGCGCTCTCTGATAAACCTGAACATTTTATACTGCAATCTCCAACTCACCTGCTAAACGTGGAGTGGCAAAACCCTTTTATGTAGAGGAAACTCATAGTACAGTAGTGGAATGTCATGTACTTGTAGATGAAACGATGTAAATGAGAATGCCCATGGACACCTGGAACACCATAAGTACTAGTGCGTTACCGGCCTTTTGGGAATTAGGATTTTGAGGATTATTGGGTATTTAGGGACTGGAGAGATTGGGGAGGGGGGTAATTAGGCCTCTGGTAACCTCACTCACATGACGAAACACAATGCAAGCGTTGCTTCACATCAGTTTTCTGTGAGGCCGTGGTATCAATCCGATCGAGGCGGCCCATTCGTGCTGAAGCATGGCTCTCCCACACTTACAAACAAACATCATCACGCCAGTCTCCTATTGCGGTAGACAGAGACAACAGAACCCCAAATACCACTATTCTGACATACCTCTTTACCTTCACTCATCAGTCTTTTCATGCATGCTCGTCAATTGATGGTGTTTCTACCTACCCTAATATGGGAAAGCGCCTACGTGATCATGGAAAATGAATCCCCAATGACCGCACATGTTTATTTTAGAACCCGTCTCATTTATATCGTCATACTACAAGGAGAACTGACCGTGGGATGAATCATATATTTTTAACTATGTCCATGATCGCGCGGTCGATAAAAAATGTTACCGTTTTGTAAGTCGATTCAATGATTTGGGCTTCGGGGTTAAAGAACCTTTGTAGGAGTTTGTTTGAGTGTATGTAGGTCGTGGTGTAGTTAAGTGTTCGCGTCTGGCAAGCGAAGGATCTTAGGTTTGGTCCGGTCTTTGCTTTTGAATGACATGCTGAGGTTATCTTAGAGTATAGTATAAGTTTGATTCATGATTCTGAGCCCCGGAAATGTGGTTGTTGTTGTTTTTTATATTTCAAATCCGTTTCTTATCTGTAAAATGTCCTCCTTTCCATTCATTTAGCGGGAACCAGAGCGTTCCTTCCTATTTTTTTATTCGTCTATGGCTCGATGCCGTATATTAGCAAAAAAACATACGGATCACCTGATGGTAAGCAAACAGGACCACCCATAGGCATCCGCAATACCAGAGGATTTCAAGTGTCTTTTGGTAGGGATCAGGGACTCCGATAACCTCACTCACACGGCTGCACACAACGCTTTGGTAATTTCATGCCAGTTTTTTACGAAGCCGTGGTTTCACTCCGGTCGAACCCACACATTCATACCTTGGCATAGCTCGGGCAACAAAAGTCTTTCTATCTTTGTCTCAAATTAACGTTATGTTTCCTTCTATTCCAGGTCCACTTCTCAGAACAGCCTCCGAAGGTCCACGTGATGAGAGTCTGGTCGTTCGCAGCTCGACAGGCCAGGGCTGGTCATTGGGAGAGATACGCCTTAGATCGGGACAGATTCAAGCGACGGTACGTAGCCTTTACTCTCTTGTCTTATTACAATTAACGGGATGTAGGTCCAAAGGGTCCACTGCTGGACTAAGTTCCTGCAGTTCTGCTCTACATAGGAGGTGTGAGCATAATCCCGCTTGGCAGGCCCCACTGTGGACGAGTTCCCTCGTGAATTGCGTCAGTTACCATGGAAAGTGCAATCATGTTGGTCTGAATCCCCGTACGGTTGTCATCGAAAGACGTCGGACCTGAGAATTTTTAGCCAACATAGATAATTGTAATTATAATGGTGCTTAAATGGATGTTTACAATTTAATTAAGTATGACCTGCTTTTGTTAGTTAACTATGTTATGTACTTAATTATTTAACCTTATTTACTATCCTATATCACAAGTTGTACTTTAAAATGAATAAATATTACATCTTCATTAAATGCCCGTCCCTTCGTCAGCCGACCAAGAGTACAAGCACGTACTTCTTTAAATGCTCGACTCCTATTGATCACAGCGTGATGTCTTATAGCTTTTAGCCTTCCTCCATAAATGGACTATCCAACACAAAAAGAATTATTCAAATCTAACCGGTAGCTGCGGTAGTGTAGATAGATATTCATGCGAATTTCTCAAATTCCAGGATTGCGGACGTAGACATGGCTGTCTCCTGGGTCCTCAAACCTCAACATCGTTCTCGAGTCATGTTCCAACGCTTCATGCCTTGGTGGAACGCCTTGAAGCGGAAGGAGATCGCCGAAAAGAAGGAACTGGAAGCCCTCGAGAAGGCCAAAAGAGAAGAGTTAGAGAAACTTGAATCAGGTAATGTCGACACCGCCCAAGATGGTGATGAAGAAGATTGTAAAGAACCACAACTTCCTATGTCCGTTCTAGAAGAGAACAATAAGAATAATGTCAAAGTAGATTTGACTGATAATCTAAATAGTTACCAAATTGTTCCCGTTAAAGAAAAGATTTTAGATTTGTGCACAGATTATAAAGTGCCGGCCGTTGAAACTTGACAGGAGTGACTGTTCGCGTTCTTAGTCTATAGTGTCGGGTGGCTCTGGTTTTAAAAAGAAAATTTAAAAAAATGTATTGGCCCTAAATCGATCGGTCTATTTGGTTATATTTTTTATCATAAAAAGTATACTTTTAAATTGATATGGGTATTTAAATAAAATTCGAAAATGTTAAAAAAAAATTTGACACGCTTCGGTTCACGACTTATTGTAAACTAGCTTCTGCCAGCGGCTTTGTCCGCGTTTCCGTGGAATAAAAAGTAGCCTATGTGTTATTCCAGTCCATAATCTACCCCTGTACCAAATTTCATCACGATCCCTTCAGCCGTATTGACGTGATTGAGTAACAAACATACAGACAGACTATCACATTTATATTATACTAGCTTTTACCCGCGGCTTCGCTCGCGTCACAATGTAGATATGTATAATGTGTATGTAGGTAAAATGTAAACGAAAATCAATTGAAGCAATCGTGGTAAAATTTTAATAATATGTTATGTACAATCTTTGAATAATATAGTGTTTTTTATTATTTAATATAAATTGCAGCGCCCTTACAGGGTCATGTTGATACTGCTTAACCAAAATCATATGTATTATGTATAACACCTTGGTACCCACACATGAAGCAATAAAGACTTTGAATTTGAATTTGAATTTGAATTTGAAGAATAAAATTAACCTATGTGACATATATCAATACACACAGCGCCATCTATACCAATACTTTTGTTTTCCCTCGGGAATATCAAATTTTTCCGGGATAAAAAGTACCCTATTAATTAATCCGGACTTCTAACTTTACGTCTGCAAAAATTCAAAGCAATCGGTTTAGTAGTTACGGCGTGAAAGCGGAACAAACAAACAAACTCACTTTCCGATTTATAATATTAGTAAGGATTATTAATTGTTGGTTGATTATATATAATTCTATAGTTTAAGTAATTTTAAGCGTGTCTAGCTATGGCAGGCTTGCATTGCTTAAATTAGGTTTTATGTATATTGTACAGTGGCATTAAGTTAACTAAAATCGCGGGTTACTCACGTGGATATACTGAGAAAAGCTCTACTAGTTTCGAACCACACAGTGAGATGCGCGACGTCGCCGCGACCGCACACGCTGCTCATGAGGAAGAACCCCTCTGTGGTTCGAAATTAGTAGAGCTTTTCTCAGTATATTCACGTGAGTAACCCGTGATTTTAATTAATTTAGTATGTCTCACGATAGTTATTATAAAAACAAGTGGCATTAAGTGCCGTAGTATGCCCCTCTGCATACCCGTTCGGGGATAAAAGGTGTATGTTATGTTATATTCGGACTCCATTAATAATCTGTACAGATAAATAAAATTATAATGTCTGTTTGTAATATTAAAATAACCGGTTTTTACTACATGCATATGAATATACATACGATACATTATACTAAAATAACACTTTACTATTTTTGTCTGTCTGTTTGTGTGTACTGGTTAATATCTGAAATGGCTGGACTAATTTTGACGGAGAGCTAATGTACTAAGGAAACCATAGGCTACTTTTATTTAGAAAAAAAACGCCGACAAAGCTATAGGTTCGGCTCGTTATTATATATACAGTAAAATTTAGAAAATGTTCTAATATTTATTTACAATTACTTCGCACATACGGATTTCCGTGATTTACAGAAAAATGAAAAATATTTGACGGCCTCGTTGGTCGAGTGAGCGCAAGTGCGACTGCTGGTCAAGAGGTCTCGGGTTCGATTCCCGGGTCGGGCAAAGTATTACTGGGTTTTTAAAAATTTCAGTAGTAGCACGGAGTCTGGAAATGTGCCCTGTATATGGCAATAGGCTCACCCCCTATTACATGGGACTCATAACATAAATAGTGAAAAGTGGGTGTTACATTGTACAGTGGTATAATGTGCACCTCTGCCTTCCCCTTCGGGGATAAAAGGCGTGATGTTATGTTATGTTTATGAAAAATATTTATCTATATTTTTTTGTATTGATTCGGACTCAGAATCGATAGCCGAGTTACCTCCTAGAAAATGACGCGGCTTTAAAACAACACCTTGTATACTTACATACAATGTAAAACTGTCCACGTTCTTCATTCTAAGACTGTTAAAAATTATAATTTATTAACCCGTCGAGCGTCCGCGTTCCTTATGATCCAACGGGTGCACACGTGACATTTGGAGAAAGAAAGAAAGAAAATGCATTTATTTGGCCATTGGCACACGAAAACAAGGATCATTACAATAGAAATAAAACAAATACAGTCAAAATAAAAACAAAACATTAATAGTAGATTTTATAAAAGAGAAAGCAGCATGGAGCATTTTTTCTTATGATCCACCGGGTGCTCATAAGGACGCTCGAGGGGTTAAGTGTATTCAGACAAAATTTTCAGCTATGTAGTATTTAGTATTGTATTATGTCGTGGACTTAATAACCAGAGCTACCCGATATTTTTTTTTTATATAGACCTCGAGTCACACTGTCCAGTGCCTTTTCACTTAAGAGACTGATGATATCAATAGCTATAGTACCGAATTATTTAATCTTAGTTCCTCCAATGAGACGAAAAATGTGAAATTTTCGATATATTAACTTTAACCACCCCTGTTCTTCCCGCGGGTGTCATATACCCGAACGTGTTTAATTACTGGTAGCAGAGCTCTCTGGATCCTTTTGAAATCTCCAATCAACTTGTCAGGCGTGGAGATTACGGCCAATTCCTTCATGTGGAGGTACACAGTCCATTAGTGGGATATACCTATATATATTTATATATATAGGTATATAAATACATTTTCTACCCTATTTTCTAGTAAACTCAGTCGATTTTATAACAAAAATATTACTTACAATGAAAATTAGTACTTATTTCCTTATTGACAAAGTTTAAAATAAAATTTCGTCTCATTGGCTTAACTTTGACGGTACTCGTGTGTGTATATTACTTAGACATTATTCTTAAGGTTTTTATTATATCCATTTGCACTTAAAATCACTGTTCAAAATTATTTTTTAATGAATTTTCTTACTTTAGCTATGTTACATAAGGTTGGTTTTTGAATGGGTGACCGTTTACCTCTAAATACTGAAAGCTACTAAGCGTTATTTAAATTTTCATAACACATATATTTAATTGTGTAATTGTGTATCGGACTTGCCCGACCAATTTCAAGTTAAACCGGAGTTCTTAATATGCTTTGTGATTTCTCAACTTTGCTACGTTCTTAGATCATGATTTCGTCGATACTTTAGTTCAAAAAATCATTGGCAATTTTTACCTAACGCTTTAATCGAACCTGCAATTCATCCCACTGCACCAACTACATTCAATTTGAAACATACAAAAATAAGAAAGTTCATTAAAATGTTAATATATTGTTATTTTGCAAATGTACTACAATTTAAATAACCTATAATGTAAATATTATATAACTATAAAAATAAATGAAACATTGTAAAAATGTATATACAAATTACAAACAAACATATAAATAACGAAGTGATACTTAAAAAAATCATTGTATGTTAAACGGTTTTAATGAGCTCTATTCCACCAATCAAGCCCTTTCATTTGATATCCATAATGGATGGTAGTTGTGGAAACAATTAGATAATATTGTATGGTCATCAAGATTAAACTGTCAAACACCAAGCGGTCGCCGGTGACCGCGACCTATTGTTCTTTAATAGGGTAGACGACTAATTTTTATTTTAATGTCCGTCTGGTAGATTATTTAAAAACATTAGACACGTATTTTTTATTTTCTTACGGAAACGAATAGTTTCGAAGATATATTGATTTGAAATGTCGCGTGACGTCACTTCTCAGTACATTTTATACTGAGAAATGACGTTTTAGCCCCCACTCCTAAACTTTGATTCGTTTTATCTAAGTATTATTTTATTATACGACAAAATAAAAAAATACGTGTCTAATATTTTTTAATTACCTAACTTCGGACTAATTAGATTTTTAATAATCATACCCTGTCATCATCCCCATTGTGTCTATAAAACCGGTACTCGACGAGTTAAGAGTGTGTACCAAATATCAGATCGATCTGTCGCCAGGAAGGGGGTGGAATTCCAATTACTAAATTAGACCCAAACAAACGAACGGGGCGAGGTAATTAAAACCGTTTAATATTGTTCCTTGTATCGTTATTGTATTACAAAATCATGATCCGATTTAAATGTAATACTGAATTGAAATGTAAAACGAAACTTCATT